CTTTAGAAACACCTTGAATATATTGGACTCTAAGGTCTCCTGGTAGAAAAAGTGTTAAGTTTTTAATGAAAAACGGATCTAATGATTCGATGCCCAACTCTGGTAGTCCTCTCACGAACCCAGACAATGACGCTTGTAGGGAGTTTTTAACACAATCTTTGGGATCAACGCAAGACTTTACGAAATCACCTGCGAAAAGATATAAACTATTATATGTTAACTAATGTACAATCAAACTATGTATGTATATGGTATGAAATACATGGCACATGATAAGAAAGTTTTAGTACCAAAATAATTAAATCTTACCTCTTGGTACTGCATCGGAATTTTTAAAACTCAAGATAGATAACATAAAACAATAGAACATTTTCGACATCGAATACATGTTGTTGCTATCCGATATTGCAGGGCCCAAAACGGGGGTACCGATTTTTTAATATTACACTAAATGGTGATCGCAACTGAAACACTTTTGCGATACTAAATGAAATATAATATTTTTGGTATTTATACCATTTTAAGCAGTAATTATGTAAATATGTGATTAATTTAATAATGACAATAACTAAATAATTCTCAGGAATTTAACTACCTTGAACATTTTAGGTAATAAAGCTCACTGTTAATGTGTTATTCATTAGGGATCGTTAATTGTACCCTGACTGGCCGAAGTAGTGAAACTGTATATCGATGGTGGAAAGGAAGGATCACTGAAGCGACTATTTGTAAATTTTACAGAAGCGTGTTATAATTTTTTTTTTAAGAAATAAAATCGTAACTTTTTTCTGGAGAATTTAGAGGGATGAGCTCTATGAACGTGTTATTTAAAATTGAAATAGCTTTTGAATAGCATTAATTCCATTCCAAAATAAAAAAAAATGTATCTCAAATAAGTGTTTCTTCAAAATGGTTCAGAAATAGTTACCGGAAGAAACCTTGATGGGACGCCACATTGCGAAATAGAGTCTCGGAGAGAGCAATGAAACTACATCCTGTGACCGATTCAATCCGGGAATATTGATTGAAGCAACTACAGTCAGACCACATTTTCTAATGAATCAAAAAAAAAATTTTCAATATGTTTGGCTTTTGATTTCAGCAAAGTGGCGTTTTAAGTATGACTCTACTTTTTTAAATTCATTAAACGTTTTTCAGGGTTGTCGGAAACTGTATAAGTTAAAGTTCTGACTTTGGGGGCATTTATACCTTACATACCTGTGTAAGTCGCTTTTTTATCCGTATTGTTGAGTTATTACGCTAAATTTAATTTAAACTGAATAATATCTATAATCGTTTCATTTTTAGGTGATAAAGATTTTTAGAAGGATTATGTGTCTGTCTATTTTCTTACGTAATTATTATTGTATAATATAGCATTGATTTCATCCATATTTTAATTTTAATATGTAATTTAATATATGACCTTGATTTTATCCATATTTTTTGATAAACTATGGTAGTTCAAAAATTAGAAGGAGGGACGACGTAGTTTCCATGACTTTCAAATTTCCTCTAAGTTACGATTGACGCTTAAAGGAATAAATAAATATATATTATGTTTTTTACGCTCATTTAATCGACAACAGTTGTTATTAAGTTTCCCGGAAGAAATATTTAATTAACTTATAAAATATCTGTCAGAAAAAGCTTCTTCTTCGTGGCGTGTCGACTCTGACATTTATATTTATGAGGACCAATTCTAAGCCACTGAGACAGCATTATCAAAACAAAACATGGGCCATTGTCTGGGGAGAAACACCACACAAAGCTTAACTCCGTGTAATAAGAGCCAAAAAGACGTCGTGCGTTTAGCATAAGCGGTCCGAGTCAAAACGAATCGCGCCATATCTTTTTCGCCCATTTCGCATGGACATAAAGCTTTCTCTAGTCAATACCGCGTTAATAACTGTTTTGACTCACTTATAAATTTCTTGAGAATCTATACAACCTCAAATGGCTTCGGTTGACTCCGCATAACAATGAAAGTGTTAAATCAATCACTTAGGAAAAAATATATAGTATCATTGAGGATACACTGATTATACCTATGTATGGATGACTATACGGTGTGAAAACAAGATGCCTAAAAATGTTTACGATAGAAAAAAAATGAACTTACATCATTGACTTACAAATAAATGGACGACGGGTCTAATACAAAAACCACGAAAAAAATGTCCCAAGTCAACCTATTCGAAATTTAAATTGTAATGTCATCGTACAGTATCGCGCTGTCAGTAGAAGAAATGAAGACTAAAGCGGAGTGTCGCGCTCTGTATACGATTTTAGCGCCTTACAAGTGCGGACACTTTTTAGCGCGGACCCGACGTCCATATAATTGTAAGTCAATGACTTACATCGAAATTTTACCAGAAAATCGCTCTATTCAATTGGTACTTTGCATATATTAATTTTTTTTTGTATCAACTGAAATAAATGGAACACATTTACTCACAGACCACATATCTTTCTTCCATGCGTATACCATACGACAGTGTTTCCCAAACATTGTTCTGCCATGGCCCGGTAATTTTCATACTGCTTCTTCGTGAGCCACTCAATACTTTTAAATCCAAGCTGATTACATCAAGTAAAATAATACACATTCATTGTTAGTAAAAATGTTTTACTAACATAACTTCGTTTGTAAAAAAAATAATTGTGAAATAAAGCCTGCCCTACCGCTCGACACAAGCAAAATGAACCGTATTAGTACTGGAAAAATTTTAAGTAAAGCTGAAGAAATACCGACTCTTAATTGTAACTGTTGGAGATCTTTTTCATACATATAGAACATTTTTACTTTTTTTTTATGTGATTTTTATACTTGGAATTAGTTTTGTTTTTGTATTTTGAATTACATTTTTGTTTTATTGTTTTTTGATTCGCTGTGAAGTGTGTTCAGTGTCTAACGTGTTTTGAATTTATTATAAATTTTCAACAAAATAAGTGTTTTCCGTCCGCCGCTGCCTGCTGTTCAGTTCACTGCTCATTCTATTGCTTTTAGTACCTTAAAGTTTTCTAATTGCGAATGAAAATGTAGTGATTCAAAACCAAAACCAGATTAGAAGTTTTGTGTCTAAAATATATTTCGTTCTTAATAGCTCATTGTGAAGACCTTTCACAAGATTTGTAACAACTGCAGAGATGTACGACCTTTGCCTTTACTAGTTTAGAAGAAAGATAACAGAATATTAATTGAAAATGTTGGTTACATTACCGTTTTATATCTCAACTTTTTGCGGTTACTGTGCGGCTGTTACATTATCTTACTCGAGGTGCATCTTGTATTCTGTAAAATTACCACATAGGTAATCACTATCAAGGAATGTTTCTCGAAGGCTTACTTACTAGACTTCTATAATTGTTTAAAACTAAAGTCTCTGTAATAACCACTAATCATCAAACGGCGGATTTCTAACATCAATTTCGATATTTTCGTCTTCGTCCGAACTGTCTTGGGTAATATCAAGCCAGTGTTTAGGGCGTTGAGTGTATAGCGTGGCATCTGTATTGGCTAAACTGCCATGTTTTGGTTCTGAAGTTGTAGATTCAGTCAACGGCGTTCGTGTATCATCGTCGTAGTTTGCATGAAATATTTTTTTTTCTGTACTTTCCAAGTGATCCATGTAATAAAAAGGTGATTCTGTTAATGGAATATCTTCCCAGTGTTTTTCGTTTTCTGTTAGGTGAGTATCAGTTGGAGAAGAAGTGGATGTAGATTGAGTGGATTCGACCTTTAAGGTGTAGGTTGAAGGGCACGTCGACTTCAGCTGTAACTCAACCTCTGTAAAAATAGGTCATTCAATAAACAGTAGTACAACATTGCTCAAATATATTTGCACCTGACGTTACGTCAGTCATTAAATTTATGTCAGGATAATATAAGTAGTTTGTAGATATTTCTATTGACTATAACTGCTTGAAGTAAACATGTAAAAAAACCAAATAGAGAAAAGACTTAATTTGACGTCTTTAAAAGACGTTACATGGAAAAATATTGGAAGATACAGACGGGACTTCCAAAGAAACATGACAGTCAAAATTAAATGAAAATTATAGAACTTACCTATACCACATTGCTTGGCACATTCCAAGCTAGAAGGATTAATGTAAGTGACGTTGTCAGTGCCACAAACAGGGTTGTACTCTATGGCCGTAGGACATGACCGTATGCATTGAAGTGAAGACACAGTCCTTGAAGGAGTTACGGGCGGTAGCGTATCCATTACATGTGATGGAAACCTGATGAAATTATTATTCCAGTATTGCATTTGTACTTAACTACTCGTAGTAAATGTTACTCTCCCTTTTTAAGGTAAACATTTTACGTCAATCTCACGTGGTGATCAGTGACGTTGTGATCGAGAATGGCGTATAAACGCATGGCTTTCTATTGCAACTTACTAATACGACTTTTTTATTATTATTCTATTTGTATACAGTAATTGTATACAGCTCGTGTATTGTCAAATTATCTATGAAAAATCTGACTTGAACAATTTATATTGCTAGTTTGTTTATAAAACCTGTTACTGTTGTTAAACTTGTAGATTATTTCCTGAATATAGAATTCATTATTCGTACATTTAGATAGTTGCATTGAAAAATAAAATAACAATCATAGTACTCCTTAGGTAAATATTCAATATTATTATTATTATTTTTATAATATCAAATGACGATATTGAGACGAGTAAATCGTGCGCCTGGTGATAAGCTACACGCCTGTCCATAACAGTTGCAATGCCGCTCAGAGCTTTAAGTCGCAACTGAGGGGCACTGCCACTACGTCCGTTACCCTGAGACACAAGTTGACAAGTACCATGTGCCTACTATTTCACCAGCACCCTAACCTTTCAAAACCGGAACGCAGTAATGTTAACATCCCTTTTTGGCGGCAGAAATCGGTAAGGCTACTACTGTTATTGTACATATTGCTATAACTAGAGATGGGATTTTACCCGATAAATATCCGTCAAAGGATAAATATCCAATAAATATCCGTTTTTACTGAGTATTTATCCTAAAACATGGCTATTTATTTTTTGTGTTTTTTTTGTATAAAATTCAATAGAATTACTTTTTATTGTATAATTACGTACGATTACTTCTCATTTTACCATTGTTTTATGTATCAATACTGTTTTAGTGCCTAAGTTTTTCGAGTCGATAACATCTCACTAAATGAATAACCGAAACTTTTATCAACATAAAAGTTTGCTGGTATAGAAAATTCGATTGACAGAAAGTCATCAAATTAACTGAACCCTTGAGCTGACCTATCCTGCGTTAATAAAGTGCGACCCAACATTATGGTCTTGGGGTCTACTACTGCATACTAAATAAAGTCATGTTTGGACTTGAAATAGCCTAAGAATTCTCTTTCACATTTCACACACAAAATCTATTAATGATATAAAAAATAAATGAGATATGTTATGGTATGCAAATAAATGAGAATAAAGAAAGAATAAAGAATAAATGTTTACAATTCTCCTTAGCGGCTCTCTCCGTCTCTTTCGCACTCATGTAAATTATTCGGTAGCGAATTTAGACTTTGGCGTAGTGACCAAGTGATTTTGAATTGAATTTCCTTTGTATCAGAATTAATTATCGTTTAAGTATTTCCAATGAAGGCTGTACAGTTTTTTTAAATAAAATATTGAACAATCAAAAACCCATACGAACCTGAACAAAAAATCGACCAACTTAGTAACTTGAAAAAAAAATCGATACAAAATGTTAGACAGATTATTAATATTGTGTGCAGACTTTTGTAATAAACTACGCATTTAAATAATAATAAGGTTCACGCAAAAATACAGAAATTTACAGTACCTACTTAAAAGGATTCTTTTTATCTCTGCGTATAGAAAAAAGGTATAACAAGCAATATACTACACGTACATGCTACTAAATTGTATCAATATTTACATTAAACTTAAAAATATACTTTGTTTTACTAAATATAAATAATAAACCACGATTAAAACATTTATCCACGTTTTTGGATAAATATGGAGTAAAAATGAATAAATATGGATTTTTATCCATATTTATCTTTCTACTGAGCATTTATCCCATTGATATATATCCATGAACCATTTCTAGCTATAACATATTGGCATTTGATAATTGCATTCAAGAATTTGCATTTTAAAAAAACACTTTTAGAAACTAAATTGGCAATTAATTAATGATGCCTAACTTTGAATGTCGGAGACTGTGTTCATGTGACAGTGTGGGTACTTTTTAGTTAGGTACATACACTACATACATACACTCACTCTTACAAAATGTACACGGTTATATAATACACATGTAAGATTTTGGTTCCGTTACAATTTCGCCATACCTTTACTTGTGAATCGACGTATATTGATTAATTGTCCGTAATCATAAAACAATAGTTTATTCCATCCAGGTTCATTATATCATAGACATAGACATACTTTTATTGGCACAACACAACAATACAGAAATGAAATAAATAAATATAAAGGGAAGTGAAATGATGCACAACGGCGCAGCCACCACACTAAGGGTCGTATTCTAGAACTCTACTCAATGCTCAAGTCAGGATTGCAATGGAAACACAAGCACTGGAAATACGACCCTAATAGCAGGACCTTGAGTATGATTTCGAGTGCTTTAAACCATACTCAAATCCTAACTTGAGCATTGAGTAGAGTTCTAGATAAATAAATATAAATGTGGGAAGTGAAATGATCTTAGGGTCGTATTCTAGAACTCTACTCAATGCTCAAGACAGGATTTGAGCAGACTTGAGTATGATTTCAAGCACTGGAAATACGACCCTAATGGCAAGGACATGAGTATGATTTTCAGTGCTCACTGCAATACTCAAGTCCTGACTTGAGTATTGAGTAGAGTTCTGGAATACGACCCTAAGAGCATTTCACTTCCCACATTTATACGGCGAGCGGCTAGAGAGTAGAATTACCCGCAGACTTATTCTCCGAACGCTATGACTTAGAACTTTTTAAGGCGCAACTGAATAGGCATTATAAGGTATGCATGCTACATCGTCGGCCTCATCATCATTTTCCATCAGGTGAGATGGACGTGAAATGCGCACTTATTATATATACACATATATACATACATATATATATAGTTTACGTTCAAATAATTATTTGACATATAATTACAATTAAAATTAGGGTAAAGGTGCAAAGTAGATAGTCTAATACGGTCTGTGTTGCAGTGTCATGCCAACATGGGATTTATCTCAGCATTTGCTGCAGTAACTTACCACAGCGCTGATTTCAGTAAGCCCTTGCGGGCTCCCCTACGAGCTCTACAGCTCGGCGCTAGCAGTAAACGCAATCATCAATAATTATCATTATCAAATATCAATTACTACGTTTTTAACACTAATAGATAACATAACTAGCTGTCTAAAAACCAACATACTTAGGTGTGAACACTGGATAATTCGTATACATTTCGGGGCTGTATTTGTAACTGACTGGATGATGTTGCCTCCAGTATTCCCTGGATTCTTGATAATCATTGCGATGTACAATTGGGTGTCTATTATGTGCGTTGTTAATATGAATTCTGTGGTACGTTGGCTGGTCCCACTCTGGAGCTCCATTGTGCCAGCTGTCTTGGTCATTGTGTTCGAAGGCGTGGTGGAACTGATCGTGGCTGTCGTATGGTTTTCCATAGCGCGCGCTGAAGATGCGACCCGTGCTTGTGTGGCGCCATATCAAAGTGATCACTGTTGACGAAAATATTTTATTAAACAAAAGATGTTTTCACTTTAATTTAACGAAAACTTTGTGTATATCGAGTTCTTAGGTTTTCGCGATTGTTACACATAGGAAATGAAACTATTTTTCCGGATTTAAATCGCGTATATTTGTTTTTTCAAACAAACCGACGTTTCGGGCCCTTTACAGGTCCCATGGTCACGGTTGACTGAGGTGGTACAGTCTTCAACCAGTTATGTCTAATATTAATGCAAACCACCCTATTTTTTCACTATAGTTACAATAGTTATTAATTAAATACCTTATTTTTAATTTTACAAAGAAAACATTCCAATTTACGCTACATTAAGTTTTACAAATTATTTTATTGAATGAATTTTTATTAAGTTTAATTTATTATTCATTATTAATAGAAATTAGAATAAACTAAAACATATTAATTAGTACTGCAGTCTTATGTCTGTTTGGGATTTTTCATTAGAGGAAATACTGGATCCCAAACTGGTGGTACGGAGAAACCATCTTCCCTGTTGAAATTAGGATGTTTTTTAATTTCAATGGCCTCTCGCAGCATCCTGGGTAGATAACGGACTTCTTTTGCAAGGACCTGGGGTTTGTCAAACTTCATTGAATGTGTAGGTTTATCCATGACATGCTCGCAGACTGCAGACTTGTTTACGCGACGCGTCGCGTAAACAAGTCCGTTATCTACCCAGGATGCTGCGAGAGGCCATTGAAATTAAAAAACATCCTAATTTCAACAGGGAAGATGGTTTCTCCGTATACTACTCTAAGTATATTGAGAGAGGAAAACGCCTTGAATTGGAAAATAGTAAAATCAAACAAAAAATAATTGCTCCTTATAATAAAATTAAGGCGCTATTTATAAAAATGATTCTTCATGCGTGAACAGCCACCCTTAGAGGTGGATGATTTTCTTCAAAATTAAATGGGACCACTATGGAGGTACCCTCTTTCCAACAAAAAAGAATCATGAAAATCGGTTCACAAATACCGAAGTTATCGCGTAACATACATACAAAAAAAAACAGTCGAATTGAGAACCTCCTCCTTTTTTGAAGTTGGTTCATAATATAACATTTTATATGTCTCCTTCTATTTAGTCTATACAACCTCAAATAGCTTTGGTTGATTGCACATAACAGTGAAAGTGTCGACAAAAATCACTTTGGAAAAAATATATAGTAAAATTGAGAGATTGATTTACAATAATTTACCGAAAGTATTGAGGTTTGAAAAAACCTTATATTATTTAAAACACAATTAGACAACTTATTGACTAATAAAATTTACTATACAGTGTCCGTATTTTTAAATGACAGATCCCTAACTTCGTTGTCAGATTTTTGATATTTATATTTCTTTTTTGACGTTACTAGTTTTATTATTTTGACATTTAATAATATATTTTAATTGAAATTGACTCATATTATCATAGCGCCTAAATTGCTGACCGACTTATTAAATCCATATGTGCACGCTCATGTGATGTTAGAAAAAATAACATATTATATCTGGTTTAGTCTGTTAAAATGCATGCGAATAAATGTATAATTAATAACACTTTCAATACGTTTGTATGCCTAATGTTTGGCCGGACACAGTGAAACTCTCCTTATTTTAACCTGTGTTTTCACAAATAAATGAATTATGAATTATGAGAATATACACTTTCCATACGATGTGAAAACACAATTCCCAAAAATTTTCACGATAGAAAAAAAACAGAAACTTACCTCAACATTTTACATGAAAACTGCTGTACTCATTAAGTACTTTACATTATACCAATGATTTTTTAATATCAACTGAACTAAATAGAACACTTATATTATAACCATATAAATTTTTGAAATGGCTTTAATTTCGTTTGTTAAAAAATAAATTCTGAATTTATTTCAGAATTTATTTTTGTGTACCAGTGTCCCTGCTGCTCGACCCAAGCAAATGAAACGTATTAGTATGGGAATTTTTTGAATTCGAGTTTAGGACCACTGTGGGTTGCTGCTTTCAATTCGTTCCCGAATAACAACGTAAATGATAATTAAATCTTACAAAAAGTTTTGAATAAATGTATACTAATGAATAAATAATGTATATGTAATAATAATAATGATTAAATGTATATGGTCTTTCAACGACTAAAAAGTCGTTGAAAGACAAAGTACAAAGACACGACGCAAGCACATAGAAAAATTCGTGAGGTCCGTTGGTTCGTTCCGTGGCTTAGTTGGTATAGCGTCTGGCACGGTATGCAAGAAGACGTCAGTTCGGATCCGACCGGATCGAAAGAATTTTTTCTGAGTGTTTTTTCTGAGTGTTCGATCTTTGTATTAATAATTATAACAAACTAGTGGAGCAATTTCACAAAAAATAATTGAATATCAATTCAATAAAAATTTAATTTATACCCAAAACCCTAATAAAAATTAATATGAGATATAAAAAAGAATACCCAACAGTAGGACTAAGGACTTCATGCCATTACAAAAGGTTCCTGAAAGTACTGATATCTAAGACTAAAAATAAGAATTTAAAATTGCATTATAAAAAATGTTACAAAATATTAAAAAAGCCATTAACATATCTAAAAGACATTGCAACAAACGTAAATTCGAAACTTCTCAAAATAAAAGTAAATCTATGTGGCAGATCATAAATAATAAAACTACACAGACAGATAAACAAACAATATGTGATCCTATACCAGTTGCTATCACGTTTAACTCATTCTTTTTAATATAAGTTACCCTCAAATCACCAACCTAGCAAACGTGACAATTATTTGTTGACACTGGAGATAATAAAAATCGGTTCTCACTACTCTAAGTATATTGAGAGAAAAACGCCTTGAATTGGAGAAATAGCAAAATCAACTATTAAAGTAATTGCTCCTAAATTAAAGTTAGGCGCTATTTATAAAAATGAATCTTCATGCGTGAACAGCCACCCTTCGAGGTGGATACTTTTCTTCAAAATTAAATGGGACCACTATGGAAGTACCCCCTTTCCAACAAAAAAACGATCATGAAAATCAGTTCACAAATACCGGAGTTATCGCGTAACAAACATACAAAAAAAAAAAGAACGTACAGACGAATTGAGAACCTCCACCTTTTTTAAAGTCGGTTAAAAAGACCTTTTCTCAAACATGTTCGGAAATGTTGGAAACGTATAATGTATTATATAAAACCAAAAACTTAAGAGTCTATACTATCTCAGCTCGAATTAAAATTTGTCCCGTACTAATACGGTTCAGTTTGCTTGGGTCGAGCGGCAGGGACACTGGCTTTAATATACCTGGTTGTGCAAAAAGTTCAAAATGTTTTCAAAAATGCTATTTTTTAACTTCATCTTCCTCAAGGAAAACATGTTTAGTCGCGGACATATACCGTAACTGTCCTTGACCTTTGAAAACGTCCTCCTCCCACTCCCATTCCCTTATCCATGTAATAAAATGAAGTGAACGATAATGGTTTTGGAATTACAAAGTATGAAGGTCATACTACATAGATATAATAGAGTTCATAAGCATGTTTTCTATTCTATACAAATATAAGTCATAATTTTGATGAATATCAAATTGACGAACAGCACAAATGATTGATACTGACCACTAAAAAATTAATCATTATATCGATAATTAATTAATCATTTTTTAACATGTTATTAAAATTAAAGGTAATAAACAATATGTCTATGGGAATAGAACTCTACTACAAATTAATTAGTAAACATAATATCGTTACCCATAACAATAGCATTTTAGCATTTTATTAGCAGTAGAGCTCTTGTAAGTTCTTGAAAGACTTGCTACCTTACCTATTTCTGCCGCCAAGCAGTAATGTCTGCATTACTGTGTTTCGGTTTTTTAAGAGGGAGCAGAGGAAAAATTCCTAATGTTCGATTTGATTTTAGAGGAGTATATCCACTTTAAAGTTAAAAATAAAATATTGTATGAGTACCTACATGATATATTCAAGCATAGACATTAATCAGAAACATAAAACAATAAAGTTTCCTCGATAGATAAAAATCACGAAATGACCTCTAATTTTCACATTTTTTCGATTTATCCTCGAGATGCTACAGGTTATTAGGACAAAAATTAGATAATTAATTATATTTATGCATGATCGACAACTGTCACTACGGATTTTTTTTTAATCCCTTTTCCCCTTTTTCCCTTTTATTCCGCTAAAACGAATTTGGTACTTTTACTGCGCAAAATTCAACATCTCCTGTCGCATGTCACGCGAACTTCAGGCATATATTTGTTTCACAAATTTGGGCGGAGTTAAAACTTTTTTGGCATGCTCCCTCTTAAGGGTAAGAAGGGTGCTGGTGAAATTACAGACACATAAGACTTGTCAACTTACGTCTCAAAGCGACGGGCACAGTGGCGGTGCCCCAGATCTTTGCGATTTAAAGCTCTGAGTGTCACTGTAACTGTAAAATTTAGTACTATGTCTGAATATTGGGTATGTAAATAATGCTTACATAAATCTTTATTATACAATGTAACTAATAATTTTAAAATCACAAGAATTCCTAGCCAATTACGTTATCTCGTTAAACAAAAAAAATGGAATATGACTTACCAAACAGTCTAAGATAGTTATCCATGTTTTTAAATCTTATTTGATTTTATTCTTTTAAAATAACAACTGTGATTTTAATTCAGTACACCTTCACCTTCACCGTTCTAAAGATTGTCTCCAATTTATACTCTCGTCTCTTTTGCGTATATGAGCCCCCACTTTTCCTTTTGAACCTGTGGTCATCTCAATAATGATTCATATAACTTATAAGGATAAACGATGAGTGGTTTTGTTTGGAATCTGAGAAAAGAATGGAAATTCTATGTACATTCCTGACTATTGTGTTAGTAGGTATGTATCCATTCAAAACAATCATAGCTGCATCCTATACACCATATATTAACAGAGCAAATTTCATACTCACACTTAGTATTCAAAAAAATCGT